CTTTCTCTCCCTCTCCCGTGTCCCAGGAACAGCAGCAGGTCCAAACACCCCAGCACAGGGGTCTGTGCCCCCAGCCCCTGGGGACACTGTCCTTCCCTTCTCAAGGGTTGCTGCCCTCGGCATCTCCCCCCTCGCTCAGCGTACCCTGGGTTGCCACAAACATGTCTCTCTGTGCCCGCCTGAGCCAGCTGCAGCCCATTACGTGCTTACCCCCCCTCCCCACAGCCCGGGCTGCCTGGCGGGGGCTGATCCCCTGCACCTGGGTGGGGGGCTGCCCTTAACCGGCCTCAGCTGGGTGTCCACGCAAAATGCAAAAAAGACATTTGCTGGCACATCTCTGCTCAGACCGCTGCCTTTTCCAGGCTGGAGCTTGCCTCTGGTGGGCCAGGATTACCTGGAGATCCTCTCTGCCTGGTACTGCAGCTTCGGCAAGTGCTGCAAGACAGGAGACTGCAGGATAGTCAACAATATCACAGGTAGGTGCTGCGCTGTATTTGGGAGACCCCAAGCAGTGCTTGTCTCTGCTGCCTCTCCCTGTTGTCTCTTTTGTTGTTTGTTTGTGGGTTTTTTTCTTTTTAAAGAAGTGTGTTTTAGCAAGCGATGTAAGTAAAGGGTGTTTCTGAGCAGGGTGCTGAGCTGGTGGGAGGGCGAGGGGCTGAGCTAAGTCCTGTTTCCCATTATTCATTTGTAGCTCTGAGACCACAAAAGAGTTTGCTCCTTACTGCACAGCCTATCTGCTCCGGTTTGCCACGAGCCTTGCCTTCATCCGGTAGCTCCCAGGCATATGCAGTGGGACCCAACCTGGCCCAGTACGGAGCCCCAGGTCGGGAGGGTACCCCGAGAGCCTCGTGTAAGCCCCGTGCAGGTATCATTGCACTTTGCTGGCCCTGAGACTTCTGGTATCCGTATCCTCTGCTGGGAGCTCGTGAGGGTCTGTGGGCTTCAGTGCTCTCCGCAGTCGTCAAATACCTCCTCCACTTCCCAAAGGAAAAAAGGAGTCGGGAAGCTCGGTGTCTTTTTGCGGTCAGTGGCTGATGCAGGCAGGGTACAGGCAGCCTGCCTCATTAACCCTGTGGCTTTAATGCCACTTCAGACTCCTCTCGGACAGGCAGCCCCCCCCAGCAGGGCTGTGTGAGCTTAGTGCCCTGCCACGTCACCTCCTCTTATTCCCACCTGCAGCAGTAGCAGCACCTGGGCTTGCAAGTTAAAGCTGAGCTCTTGCTCTCTCTTTCCTGCAGGGCTAGAAGCAGACCTCGATGGGCAGCTCCACGGGCAGCACTTGGTCAAAGAAGTCGTCATCCGGGCGGTGCAAGGGTTCCTGCAGAGCCCACGGCCGCAGAAGGCGCTGGTCCTCTCCTTCCACGGCTGGTCCGGCACAGGCAAGAACTTTGTGGCCCGGATGCTGGCCAGTCACCTCTACCGGGATGGGCTGAGGAGCAAGTGCGTCAGGGTGTTCATCTCGCTCTTCCACTTCCCCCATCACAAGTACGTGGACTCGTACCAGGTGAGAGCCAACAGCATGGTGGGATGGTCCAGTGTACTGGGTCTGGCTGGGATGGAGGTCATTTTCTTCACAGCAGCCCGCAGGGTACTGTGTTTTGCATTTGTGAGTAGGACGGTGTTGATAACACACCAGTGTTTTGGCTACTGCTGAGCAGGGCTTGCACAGCCTCAAGGCTTTCTCTTTCTCCCACTCTGCCCCCGCAGTCAGTAGGTTGGGGGTGCGCAAGAAGTTGGGGTGACACACACCAGGGAGCTAACCCCAACTGACCGAAGGGATGTTCCATGCCATTTAATGTCATGCTCAGCAATAAAAACTGAGGGGATGGGGTTTTGGGGTAGGAAGCCATGCTCAGAGACTGGCTGGACACCAGTGGTAGGTGTGAGTGATTGCCTTTGCATCACTCGCTTTGATTTCTTTCTTTCTTCTTCCTCTTTCCTTCGCTTGTTAAACTATCTTTATCTCAACCCACAGGTTTACTTGCTTTTGCTCTTCCTATTCTCTGCCCTGTCCCACAGGGTGGGAGGGAATGAGCAAGCGGCTGAGCGGTGCTTAGCTGCCAGCCAGGGTTAACCCACTGCATCCAGGCTCAGCCCCTGCACGATGATCTGGTGGCGGTGACTGCTGCCGGGCTTCTCACGCTCCTCCCTGCTGCTCTGCAGGCTCAGCTGAAGAAGCAGATAAGCGACACTGTGCAGCTCTGCAAGCAGTCCCTGTTCATCTTCGATGAGGCGGAGAAACTTCATTTCAGCCTCCTGGATGCCATCAAGCCCTTCATGGCTCACTACGATAACAAGGCCCAGGTGGATTACCGGAGATCCATCTTCCTCTTCCTCAGGTGATTTCTGGGCCCCCAAAGGGATGGGGAGGAACAAAGTGATGGAATTTATCCCCTGAGGTGTGCGATATAAGGGGCTCAGGCTGCAGAGGAGGGGAAAGAGATGTCTAGCTCCTCCAAGAGGTGTTTGCCTCCATGATCAGTTTTGCTTATTGATACTGGGCATCCTCCCTGGGTCCGGGGCATTTGCAGGAGGAGGTGAGGTCCGGCTTAGCTGGGACACCCGAGCCAGCGTCTAGGCTTTGAGACAAGGAACCAGTGAGGGGCAGAGCTAACGTGGTGGCACCCTGCACCCTGCACAGCTGAGCAGGGAAAGCCCGTACTCCAGGGAGCAAAGCTGGGTCTGAGGGTCTTGGTGGGAATTTCTTGTACAATGTGGCACCGTTAGTTGGGAGTGGGAAGGGGGGAGTTCCCGCTGCCGGGCCGTGGCTGCAGGCTGAGGTGCCATCCGTCTGCTGTGCTGTGAGGGCCGATCCTGGCATCAGCTCACCCTGTGGTTTAGCGATTGGAGGTCAGTTCCTTTCCCATCCAGGGGGAGAAAGGTTTTTGGCATGTGCATGCCCCAGAGCTGTCCCTGACCCAGGCCTAGGTGGGACGCATCTGGGGGGGAGAAGTGGGACATCTCAAAACCGAGATGTGAGGTAGGCACGTGCCTGAAGTAGCCAGTGAGAAATGCCAAGGAGAGAACAAGCATCTTGGGCCCCCTTCAATTTAGGATTTACAGCCTTCAGCTTGGCTCTGGCAAGAGGTGTTCCCACAGGCTGGAGGCGGGCAGAGCATTCGTTCTCCATCTCCCACCATCCAGGCGAGTGTTCTAACCTCCAAGCGTGGTGGTTGCCCAGGGAAGTTTCTCTGCCCGTGGAAGACCTGTATCTGTGCCGGGTGCTTGCGGAGCTGACCACATTTCAGTCCTACCTGCATGGGCCTCCGGCAGGAGCCGTGGTGGAGGAGGCAGATCCTCCCTTGTTGCTCAGGGCAGGGTGGACGTGCTGCCGGCTGCGCTGAGCTGACCTTGTGTCCTACCTGGCAAGCCGTGCAGGTGCTGGGGGGGGACAACACGTCAGCCCCTTCGGGCCACCAAGCAGAGGGGAGCAGGGTGCCTTGAACTGCAGCAGCATGTAATCCTGGGGGGGGGGTTTCATCATAGCCGGTGGCAGCGTGACACAGACCTGTTGTAGGAGGGCTGGCTCTGCCCCAGGGCTCCTTTGGACACCGGCCTGGTCCTGCAGCTTCACCCAGGTTTGGGGGATGGGGATGGGGTGGGATTGGCTGGCTGTCCTCAGTCCAAAGGGGCTGTTTCTCCTGTGATTTGGGTGGGAGCACGATCACTACAAGCTGTTTCCCCCAAACAAGGCAGTGGGGGGGGAAACAGTGGTGGCTTTTTAATTTTGCCTCCCCTCCGTTTGGGGAATGGGTCCAGAGCCTCTGACACAAGAGGAGAGACGGGTGCAGGATCCATGTCTCCCAGGGCCTCTCTGCCTCCCACCTGCACAAGCCCTCGAGCCAGCTGGTTCCCAGTATCGCCAGTTCACTGGTGGCAGGGCACGCAGGGCTGGGGGCTGTTGTCTGAGGCTGTTGCAAACCCCTCACCAGCACGCGGCGGGGCTGCCTGGCCTTGAACTGCTGCTTTTCCAAGGTGAAGGGGTGCCCTGGGAGCCTTGTTGACTGTCAGGACCTCGTGTCCACCCCACCATGGGTGTCTGGAGGAGTCCCTCGCGTGGGAACTACGCTGCTTTGTCCCTCGGGCAGGGGATGCTTTGCCAAGTGCTGGGCTGCCACCTGAACCCCTGCCCTGGACCTTTACTTCTGGTGGGACTCCTGCCACGTGCTCTGCCCTCCAACTTGGACTTTCAGGGGTGGCTTGTTGAGTCTGGTGTGGGGCCAAGTGTCACCTGCGGGGTCGATGGCATCCAAGCCAGGACAGGGGACTGATGGAGACAGAGGATTCTGCTGGCTCCTCGTCCCGCCCTGGAAGAGAAAGCAGCTGCTCCCGGGTCTGGGCTGGCAAGGTGGAAAATGGCCCTATAGATGCCTATAGAAAGGGGCTCCTTGGGAAGAAAGCAGGTTCCTCTCTACATGTTTCGGATGCTGATCCTACAGGGTAAATGCTTCGTTGCTGACAATTGCTGAGGCCTGTCTGTAGGGGAGGCTGCTGGCAGCTCTCAGCAGTTCATCTCTGGGGGCACGGTTGAGTGACTTCCCTTCTGTCTGCAGCAATCTCGGTGGCAACACCATCAATGAGGTAGCCCTGGATTTCTGGCGAGCCGGCCGGGCACGGGAGGAGATCTCCATGGAGTTCCTGGAGCAGCGGCTGCGGCTGGAGCTTGCAGGTAAGAGCTGGGCTCGCTTGCGGGATGCTGTGGGCAGGCTGCCCGCAAACCTGCCCCTCCACGCCAGCTCGGGGCTTTGCTTACGCAGAACCATGCACCTCGTGCTGCACGAGTGTGTGTGCTGTGGAACAAGCCTTTATTCCAACACCCACCCCGGGGTTATTTGCAACGTGAGCCCCTTCCTTCATCCACAAAAACACAGCCCCAAGAGCACGGCACCGCTGCGGCAGCGAGGCACACCAGGAGGGAGCCGTGGCTCCTTCTTGCCCCTTCAGCCCTGAAAATGGCCAGGTTGCGAGAGGCAGCCTAACCCCGGAGGGAAGTATGAAAGGCTTCTCTGGGGATTCAGGCTCCTCTTGGCCTGAGGTGGGCAAGCCTTGGTGACGTTCTGTGTTCAGACTAAGTGCTGGCCAGCTCCGTACAAGCGGAAGGGTCTCTCTCCCACCACGTCCAGCTGGATAAGCCAAGACAGCCCCCTCAGAAAGACCCTCGCAGAGGGATGCCAGCTCTCAGATGAAGCTTCTGAAGTTTGTTTTATCTTGCTTTTGGCTACAGAGAACGGTTACGCCCACAGCCACCTCCTCGAAGAGAACCTCATTGATTTCTTCGTGCCGTTCCTGCCCCTGGAGTACCACCACGTGAAGCTCTGTGCACGGGATGCTTTCCTGGCCCGACCGAGACAGCCCTCGACGAGGTGGCCAGGATGATGGTGTTTGTCCCCAAAGAGGAGAAGCTTTTCTCTGCACAGGGCTGTAAATCTGTATCCCAGCGCATCAGTTACTTTCTTCCTTGAACACCAGGTGGGACCACGCCAGTGGTGACGGTGGTTCTGCGCACTAGGAGCTGCTCTCCTTGCAGAAGGTCAGGCCAGCAGGTTACCCAGCCACGCACTTGCACGGGGACAGAGACGCAACCCCTTGTGACTCCGAGGGCTGTTTGCAGGGGAGGAGGCGCACCCTGCCCAGCCTTACGCCTGGGACACAGGGACAGCCTGCGCTTGGCTGTGTTTGAAGTCTGTCCAGAGTTTTTTAAGTCCCTTCTTTTAGCAGGTAGTCGCCTGAAGTAGCGATTTGGTTGTGCTGACAGGTGCTTGGTTTGGTGTGACCGGGGATGTCCAAGTCCTTGGTTTGGTAGCACATAATGAAGGCCTCGGACAGACTGCTCCTGTTAAGACAATCCAGCAGAAGCCACGTCCTCGTCCCTGTCCCCAGTTTTCTCGGTCACTTTACAAGCTCTCAAATTACACAGAAGTGTTTAGCTGGAGTTGAGGGTTTTTTCTCTCTTGCTCTCCTGCACTCACAAGGCTCGGGATCGTGGTTTGTGCAGGGAGGCCCTTGCGTAGAGAAAATGACTGAGTAATCTCCTCTGGAGATGTCAAATCCGTAGCCTCGCGCTTTGGAGCGTCCCTCTCTCATTGGAGTCTTTCGTTGTATGGAAGCAGCTGCGGGGACGAGGTGAACTTCTGCTGAAATTCTTTTTCTAAGCAGTTCGGTGAAGAGCCTGTTTGCTTCATTGCAAAATGAGAAAAAAGGGGAGACTAATTCAAGGGCAAAGGGCAGCGGAGGAGGATGGTGGCGGAAGGAGCAGGCTGCAGTTGAATTCGGGTTTTCAGGGATGCAGTAAGCTTGGGGCTTTTTTTCTTTTTTTTTTTTTTCAGTTTGTGGCTGTGGGTTTTTGGCTGGTATCAGCATTACTACACTAAGGAGCCCCAGTGTTTGCTGTCTGGGTACTTGCCAGGTGATAAGTATGTTACAGCAGGACCAAAAAATTTCAACAGTGTTTCGGGAATCACTTTGTGACCTCTAGGTCAAAGCTCCCTTCCAACACCGCTGGGCTGGGGCGATGAGGTGAAACAGCACATGCCAAGGACAGGGCTTAGCTCCCCGGACGCCCCGTGTGCAGACCTTTGATCCATTTTCAGCTTTGAACCTCTCTGCGGTGCCCGCGATGAGCAGCACGACCTCTGGGAAAAGATTGACCAGACGCACTTACTACTCCCGCAGACTTTGAATTCGCGTTTCCCTCCGGGCACGCTGACCCCGTTACCTAACGAGGCTTCGTAGTCCAAGGCAGGAAGACGAGCCAGCCGCTTTCTTACTGCTCAGTTGATGCAAAGTTAGTTTAAACTTACCTGTTGTCTCTAGATTGGACCTTAGGGCCTGCGCCAGCGTGCGCTGTGGTCAGGCGTTTCTGAGACTTGGTTTGTGGATCGTCTCTTAATCGCAAGCCTAAAGCTTCAGCCTGGGAAAGAGCAGAGGGAGATGTGCCGGGGGAAGGGAGGACACAGCCCCACAGAAAGACACACCTCGGGTTGTGTTTTATAATCCAGGCAGAAAGTTGTTAGTTAGTTGAAGGTTAGTTGCTTAAAGGTTGTATAAGCCAGGATAACCTATGATTTTTTTCTTTTTTTTTTTAAATACAAAAGAATCTTCAGCTGTCCAGGTTAAACTGATGCTGTTTGGAGCGGAAGGGAGTCACTTTGTCAGCCATTTCACCAGTGCGGGGCTGGTATGGAGTTGGCACGTCAAGCAGTTCTTACTGTTACTGATTAAGGAGGTGGCGGTGTGACTAATGAGGGCAACTGTCAAACTGATGATGGAAGACCTGCGCTCTGCCAGGTCACATGCATCTATGTTTGAGAATTAAGTGAGCATTTGCTTATGCAACCCCAACAGCAAGAACTGCTTTCCTCTGACCACTCCACGGCAATGTTAAGTTTAATTTTAAAGGCATAAATAAAGATACTGCTTTTCTTTGCAACTTGGCAGAATTAAATTATTTCTCTTTTCAACAGGTCTATAACCATCTTGTCTTTTCTACCCAAAATAACAAACTTCAGGTTAGTACTGAGCAGCTTCAAATATTCCTTAAGAAAAAAAAAAGCAGCACACACTCAAGTGTTTTTTGCCAATAAAATATTGCAACCTTTATTTAAAACAAAATGCAAATTGGCAAAACTTTGTGGAACGACAGGCAAAGAGGCCTTTCAAAGGGCCTTATTTACATCAAGTTTAACACTGTTCGCAGTTCACAGTCAGACGATAGTGAGAGAATTAAATTAGAAAAAACAACCAAAATATATTACAATAACAATTAAAAACAAAAACAGTTGACAACACTGGTAGAGTGATTGGTGATTAACGTGTTTCATTTCAATCCATTCCTGCCCTCAATGAGTTCACTACTGATACAAACAGCGTGCCGAGCCGATCGGGCTTCACCTCCCGTGCCCAACAGACACAGCTGGAAGAATGACCTCCTTTGGTACAGACATTTCTTACCGTGTAGGTATTATAAATAACTCTGGTGTCCCATAACCTCTTATTTCCTACTACCAGGGAACAGGCTGAAGGTTTTGTTCTACACTACAGGCAATTGGAGTGCAACCCCAGCGCCCATCCGTGCTAGATGGTGCCACTCGCGCTGCAGTGGGAGGTTTCCGAGCGTGCTGCGGTCACTACCCTTTGGTCTTCCCGCCAGCTACTGATTAGCAGCAGGGCTGGGTTGAGAGTTTTAAAAGAGAAGACAGCAGCCTGTTACATTTGCAAAAAAAGATCTTCTGGCTTCATTAGTGCTTGTCACAGCTGCTGCTGCCCAAGAGCACCAACAAGCAAAATGCGGAGCGCCTCAGCTGCTGGGCAAGCCTGCCTTAGGTGAGCGGTACAGACATCAGGGCCTGGATTTCTTCACGGCTGCACAGCGGAACCCATCCCACCTGCTCGCACACCCGCTGCCCTTCAGGGAGGGGCTGCTCTGTTAACATAGCGGTTTTGGTGCAGCTATTGCCCCGCGCTGTGGGGTTTGGTTCCTCCTGCCCACAGAGAGCGGTGTGCCGTAAGTTTTGCATAAGCACACATGACAGGATGTCAACATGCGTGTGTTTGACTGCATCTCACTGGCACGAGGCCAGTGGTGCTCAGGAGAAATGTCCCGTGTGAGCAGGATGGGAACGGAGAGCCCCCCCTTTCCCCATTGTGTTCTGCATCAGCAACGCTGCTCCATTCAATTCCGCTTTCCCTGCAGCTAAATCTGATGCAGTCCCAAGACCCAGACTCTTAATTCCGCTTCACCCCTATCCGCATTAATGAAAAATACGATTAAATCGAAGTGCTGCCAGTCAGACAGCTGAGTGCACCACTTCTGGGGTTAAAAAGGGTGTACAGTGCAGGAAGAAGAGAATTGCACCTGTGAGTCAGCTAATTCCCCCCAGGAGCTAGGAAGAGAAAGTGCCCCACATCAACTCACACGTGTGAGCGCGTGCTTTGTGCTTGGCATTACCAGGCCCTATGTGATGCCATCCCGTGTTGCAAAGATGACTACTTCGAATTCTAGCCCATCCTAGTGCAAGTGAGAGAGCCCAGCTGCAGCTGCATCCTTACCCCACAAGACCTTCTGACAGTGCTGAGGAAAGGAAACGCGACAGGAGTTTATGCCTTGTCTCAACCCTAAGCAGTGGAGCAGGAGGTGCTCTTCAGCGGGACAAATAACAGGGCTTCACCATCCTTATGTTACTTTGAACATACTGTGCAAGGCTGAAAGCAGAGCAGCTGCTGCAGTAAAGACCTTTAAGGCTGAACAGAAAGCCAAACCCAGCAAAAGGGAGAAGGAACGGTAACAATTTTAGGAGCGTGGCTGTGGAAGGAAGAACAACTGAATGGTGATTTATCCCAGACACCATCCTTTTGCTATCCCGCCAGAGGGCAGGGGAGAATTCCAGTTTGGGAATAAAACACTGTTGGGCAGTAGAAGCAGCAGCAATTCTGCCGCCTCCTACTTAGGGGGATAAAGACCCTAGTGTCAAGTCAGCACTACCTCTGCTACCACCTACCTACGTGATGTGAGACCATAGGTAAGACCAGAGAAAACGCTCTCCAGAGGCGTGCCGACAGGCAAATCCCCGAATTCCACTATTCTGCATTTTCCCTCCACTGGAGGGATCAGAACTGAATGGGCTTCCGTGTTGCCCACAGAGGTCGTGGAGTCTCCATCCCTGGAGATACTCAATAGCCATCTGGACGTACTCCTGGGCAGCAGCTGTAAGTGGCCCTGCTTGAGCAGGGGGTTGCACCAGATGAGCTCCCGCAGTCCCTGCCACCCTCAGCCATTCCGTGACTTTGTAAAAGCAGACGGCTGCTTCAGCGGTGTTACTGCCCGCTGCCCTGTCCCACTGCCCATCACCTGATGTCTGAAAGGAAGCGGGGATGACCAGTGGAGGGGATCCAGTCCTTCGCTGGGGCAGTTAGTTTCTTTCGAAAGGGCTGAAAGAGGGGAGTTTTAGTAGTTAGAAATTCCAGGAATTGTTTGCTATTCTATCACTTTTGCTGGAGCTTTTCTGGAAGACTGGCATTCAGGGTAAGGAACAAAAAAAAAAAAAAAAAAAAAAAGGCTGCTTTCGAAATACTCATCAGAACTGGACTAAAACGTTCTGGTTAAAATCTCTCTCCCCTGAGAATCACTTCAGATTGAGCCTGTTTGTCCTGGGCTGCGTAGTAGTACAATGATGAAACCACGCAATTGTCTGCCAGGGCAAACAAGACCTGCCTTTCTGCCCCGAAGAAGCTCCCATACCTTTTCAACCCTTTTGATTGTTTAAAAGGCCGTGTGAAGCAATACCACAAGCCTTCTTCCCTTTGCAGGTCACCTTTCCAAAGGCAATGGAGCGATGCACACCTTTGATAAAGATGACTGAAAGAGATAAGGTAAACCACAAAAGCCCTCAGCAAAGTCTACAAGATAACGGTGTGGTATTCTGCCTTACGGCTGAGCGTTGCTGTGACAGAGCCCCGACAGAGC